TAATATCGCCTCACGGCCTCATCATTGAAAAGTCTGAATCTCTAGTCCTGAATAGTCCAGATTTGGTGGGTTTTGTCGAAATCCAGCTGCATCACTTATGGATGACGGTAAGTCAGAGTTGCATGGCCTGAGGTTGAGCGGCTTCAGCTTCAGGGTAAAATCTTCAGATACCGGGGGATGGCTGATTTAGATGCCGAGTGCCCTGGTCCAGATGCCCTGGTGCCGGACCCGTTCAAATTACATCCATTCAGCACTCAGGAGGGGCATGGAGGGACAAGACCGCGCCAACTGCGTATCAAGTTCGTGACACTCTGTATACTTACGCCTTGCGTCAATTCTGTCGAGATGGAGCCAACGCTGAATGGACTTGAGCCACCGTCTCCGTACCTTTCGTATATACGGAGTTGTAGCCGTGTGTATAAAAGCTGCGATGTCCAGTATTCTGCCCTGGTGGGCAACTGTTCCGGCAGAGACGATTGATAATGTACCTAAACGTGTAACAATCGAATTTTCGTAAATTGGAAGAGTATTCTTTTCTGATCAATATCAACCCATAGTATTTTCAAAAAGCCACCAAGAGCTCTTAGAAACAGTACAATCATTGTACCGAGCGCATGTTTACCCACGAAACCACGCCCGGTACTCGGCACCCGACGGCCGCTGGGGCTCAGTGACCTGAACTCGGCGGCGCTACCCGGAGAACGCAGTGTCCCCTCACTTGGTGCGCATTGACAGCGATTAACTTTTGTAAGCGGCAGTTACAAATGATGCTTATTGCTTACCTTTACATCGTTGCTAGTGCGAGTTTGATGTCAGGCATTTTGCAAAATGCCTGGGAAAATATTTCAGGCAGTTTGCAAAATGCCTGGTGGGTCAGGCAGTTTGCAAACTGCCTGGGCATTTTGCAAAATGCCTGGCCGGTCAGGCATTTTGCAAATTGCCTAGGCATTTTGCAAAATGCCCGAGTTTTCACTTTGCCTGTAACATTTATACACAAGGCGGCTTGTGGTTTCACGCGGTTCCATGGTGTTCTCCCTTCATTTAAAGACTTACAAATTGTGCTGGCTAAGTATTTAATAAATATCGTGTGCATTAAAAAATTGGCTCTTCATTATGCATGTAATTGTTTGAACAAAGGCCTTTCTGAGTAACTGTGTGCAAATTTGCAAACTGCTGTACTTGACTGGGTGGTGGGCCAGCCTCATGCTTTCTCATTTTTTCACTGTTGCGTAACAATGTTTTAAAAAAGAAGTTTCAAGGAATTTTATCAATTGTGATGCATGGTGACACCTTTCGACTTAGCTGTGAGCATATTTGGTATAATCGTATTGCAAAGATTGCGTACACCGGCTTTATCTATTTGCAATGGCAGCTTTCGTACGACATTTGTGTATTGTCTTTTCTATGTTGGTCACTACTCGTTTGTATGTATTTTTAGAGCCCTAACAGGCTGATGAAGGAAGACTGAAGTCTTCTGAAAGCTATCATTACTAAGAAATGAAGCTGGTGTTATGACTTATGAACAGTGAACAGTGTCCGAAAATTTTATTTCAGTGTGAAAAATTGTTCTTGAAAATTGGAGATGAAAGTGGAAAATTGATTTCAGTTGGATGTCATTTCCCACCCAAAACTGGCAAATTTTGGGACATTGGTTTTGAACAAACTTAACAATACAATATCACTGTCCCAGGCTCTAGCTGAATAACATCAACATATAACATAATGGTGAAGTTAGATAAATATAGTAGTCTGATGCTCATGAGTAAGCTATATGAAATGTATATTTTAGAGAAGAGTTGTATAATATTTCGAGCACGGCTCGTCTTCAGATTCGGCCTATGTATCTGAAGACGAGCCGTGCTCGAAATATTATACAACTCTTCTCTAAAATATACATTTCATATAGCTTACTCATGAGCATCAGACTACTATATTTATCTAACTTCACCATAATCTTAATCATGCTCAGTTACAGCATTCAATTCCTTAAAATATAACATAATGCTTTGTGTAAGCATCTCGTACAACTGTGTTGCTGTGATAATGAAATCAAAACACATGCATCCTGCATCCATGAAAGTGGATAGTAAGTAGAAAGAAGCATTTGTTGCCACATGTAAGTGATAATTGTGCAATTTCTTGGTAATTTTAGTTTGTATGAAAACGTGTAAGATTTAGGTGATTGAAACTAAACATGGAAGATAATTTTTAGGTCAGTTTTTACTTTTTCTTTTTTAATGTTGTTCTTGATATTCACCTGACCGACCTGACGTTAGGTGACCCTTAGGAGAAATCCGAAGTTAACGCTTTTGAGAATAAGGGAGTTTGATAAGTTTTGTAAGTTTCATCTACCTGCGATAGATCTCCTTGAATTGATGGAGTTGCTATGTTACGACGTTTTCTAGACCGTGCAGAGGTTCACTTATGACGTCATAGGTCAGTGACCTGACCTGACCTGAAAATGAGGTTGGTGCCACAAAATCCGGCTTGAATCAAAGGTCAGGTATACCAACTTACAACCCTCCATCACCAGCGCGCTCACCCCTACTTTACTTTGCAGCAATGGTTTGCCGCACATTAACGATAAAAGTTTTGATCTGTCCGAGATTCGAACACAGGACCTTCCGATGTATCAAAAACATGGGGTCATATATAGATGAATATCTCGAAAACGGTTGGATGGGCTTGAACTTTTCGTCCCAAAAATGGAAATAAAAATGTTGTAGCTATCTTTTGACATACTTTGTGTGTGGATGCCCACACTACGAAACCTTGAAAATCGAGCGCGAAAAGTCGCATTTTAACACGCAACCCTATGGGCTAGTAGGAAAAGTCACGCCCATGCTGCCATATGACTTTGGAGGGGGCTGGGTCATACCTTAGACTGATCCAATACCTGCCATCTGGTGCCAAAAACAAACCTTTGGTTGCAAAATTTGCCGCCAGGGGCCTTTTCGACTTCGTTATGTCGGGGCGACGGACGCGTTCAGGTGAGGCTCCGACATGTTTTCTTTTTTTCTTATTAACATGCCATGTTATCATCATTTTTGATATGTTGCTAGTTATAAGAAAGGTGCTGTGCAAATATGTGAATAGTTATTTTTGCTTTAGCGTTCGTAATTTTGACGAAATGTGTTATCGTACTTGATTGTATACTATAGTAAACATCCGGACTTCAGACTTCATTTCATGCCACCCGATGATGCAAGTGCCCTATATCTTATATTCCACTCTCTTGAAAAAAAAACTTTATTGCATCGTGACTGTAAGACACATATCAATACCTATAATTGTCGTACCTAAACCACAAAATTAAATCGTACTTATTGAATGTGTATACTATGGTATCCATCAGGATTCGCTCGTTTCTTGATTTGTGTACTATAGTATACACTTAGGCTTACATTACAACAGGACATGTGCACTCAAGTATACATTCAGGACGTGAAGCGTAAACATACTTGTGGTTCCCACGGACACATCTCAATAATTATTGCGCTAAAACATGGCACAACGTTAGGGACCGGTTAGTATGGTGTTGCACACAAGTCAGTCGGGGTACCAGTTCACACTCAGGCACGTAAACGACTCACCTTTGCGCTCTCTCTCGTTCATCGCCCTAACGGCGTTTTACTGGTATTTGATGGTAAAATACTGTTTTTGAATGGTTCTTTGAATAAATGGTCAGACTACCAAAAGGGATCGTGGCGTCACAGTCTGCATGCCATCACTGAAAAGTTAGGTCGGATTATAGAGCGAAGTTTGATAAACTGTGCTGTTTTATAGGTGGCCTGTCGTCTGCCAGTATCAAGGCCATACTCGAAGCACCTGATTCCGGATCCGACCTAGATGTATCTGATTCAGGAGACGAGTACATCCCTCGAGTCGATCCTGCTCCTGGGTCCGACAGCGAGTGACCCAGTGTCCCAAAATTACAATTTGGGTTGGGTGTCTGAGTGAAAAATTCGAACCTGAAAAGGTCATTGAGAGTGGAAATCAGCTGCAAAATGTGTGATAGGAATTTGATAGATGAGGAAAAACTTGACTATTTCAGTGCGTGTTTAGGGCTACAGCACTGGTGTCGGTGTTATTTCGCTCACTTGTGCAAAAGGACCATTTGAGAGTGGGAAATTCGCTTCAAAAATCATATGCTATCATTGCCTCTCTCAATACGATCATTGTGCTCGTATTGTGTTTTGTAAGCGTAAATCGGAACATGTCTCACCACTACTGAGTTCGCTTGCATGGCCCACTATTGATGATTTGATCAGCAAGCGAGATGTTTTATTTGTCTGAACTTTGTTGTGGTGCCTACAGAGTAAAAAGAATCAGCTTTATGACAGTAATGTGGCCTGGGGAAGGAGGTAATTTTGGGCTGTGACGTCACATATTTGAAAGTTTGTGTTTGGAATATGGGAAGCCTAAGATGTTTAATGAAAAATAAATGCCAGAACCGTGTTCCTGGTCATCCAATCTATAAAGTCGGGCACAATTTAACTGGTTTTAACAACATTTTAGAAGGTGGGATAGTTCCTTTAATTGTTGCTATGGCGACCGAGCAGTACCTACGATTTTCATTTGTCAACAAGTGCTTGCGGAGCTGCCGCTCACACTTTTGAACACAGTCTTTACGCGTCATATCTGAAACATGTTTCGTTTGGCTCCAAAACCATTCAATTCATCTCCTTCAAAAGAAGTGTTTTGTAACATTTTCGATATGTTTTTTGGACTTGATTGCTAGGTCCATTCATCCTATCTTGCGTGAGGATAGTCATCACTCGGGGCCCAGTCGTTGAGACCAAGGAACAACGACGAGGAGAAGGTCTTGTAAAAAGTCGCAGCGATTGCATTGAGCATTAAATGACGAAAATATTTTTACCCTCCACCGCCTCAGGCGATCACGTGCCGTCACCCACCTGGTTTACATAGCCTTGGGTGGATGCAAAATGTGCATGTACAAGTACATGCTGAATAGTACGTACTCTCTTGTATGAACTCACCGATAAATTGGCTGAGAGGTCGACACCACGCTGGGCACCTTCTGAAGTTCTGATGTCCTTCCTGTCACTACTGCGAACTGGCGAGAATCGCACATGATTTCGTTGGATCGAGGCGTCCTAGCTCCGGCATGGCTGTAAGACTAGACGTTCCTTCTCGAAAGCCAGTATCCAACGCGACCGCGGCCTCGTTTTCCCCGGACGTGACGCGGCCGTGCCGGTCCCTCGGCACTCCCCCGACGACTGTCGTCGCCGCCGACGGCGCGCGTCGCCGCCGCCCCGCGCCTGATCAGGTGGGCGGCTGTGATGGATTCCGCCATGTCTGGATGCCGGTGGCAGCCTGGGCCAGCCCGATAAGTAACGCAGTAAGTGTCAGCTCATTTCAATCAATAGGCATGGCAAAAAAAAAAACGATTCAATCACGACTGTTTTTCAGTTAAAGGGACCCTCCCACCTTCAAAAAGTTCATGAAGTAGCATGAAAGTGATGTCGGTCGGTTCACAAAGAGCGAAAACGATTATCTACCAAATTTCATCGAAACATTCACCGGTTTTCAAGATATTAGACTTTTACTTTTGGGATCTCCGCTGTTCCTAGCGACGTTATTTGAAAGTGCGGCACTTGTTGCGCGCAAAGCAGCATATACTAGTGATGTCAATTACAGAAAATCGGAATACCGATACCAAACCAACTACCAACAAAACCGTGAGGAAATACCGAAACCGAACCAACCTAGGAACATGAGGCAAAGACCAAAGTTATACCAATTTATCAGCCTTTTAGATATTAGTGAGGTTGATAATATCAATTAAATACCAAATATAGGATCGGAATACCAAAAACCAAGTTGGTATCGGTTTGGTATCGGTATACCAAAATGTTGGTATACGATTGACATCTCTAGCATATACCACCGCGTGCTTCCCAAACGTTTTAGTAAAAGATTTAAAATCGTTAGTTTTTACCATAGTGTATGTACTTTATGTCACCTATGATGGGGAACTTTGCACTTTAAGCTTTCCAACGACCTATTGAATGTAGCAATAGGGAAAGTAAACCGGACAAAATAAACCTTCGCCCCAGTCGGGGGAAAATATGTTACCACCCTGTCGCGATTTTTGCGTGTGAATAAAAAACCGCGGCGCGTAGCGCCGCGCCGCTTGGAGCAGCTTTCTGTACATCAATTTTGGACAATGTGTGAAATTTTTGACCCCAGGTCATGTCAGGTCAGGTCACCAGGTCAAGTTAACTGACCAAGCCTAAAAAAGTTTGCAATCATGTCCAGCCTGCAGTGTTTGTCAGAAAGGTTTTAGGGTGCGTTCTTTGCACGGAAATTTCACAGCTCAGTCAGCTGATGCGTTCTTTGCCGACCGCACGGGAGTTTCACGGCGCAATTGTCGCAGAGGCTTCATAAATGTAATATGCCCAGATTTGTGAAACATGCATTGAACTTAGCGTTTCTTGTATGGTCGGTAAGTTACATGATGCAGATAAGATAAGAGGCAGATGGAGTTTTTATAGAAAAGTCTCTGGTGTGCATACAGCTTGTAAGGATACCTACCGGTTAATATTTCGACACCAGTTTGGTGGTTAGTAACAGCGGAAACAATCCCTAAAAAGGTTTTCGGTAAAAACGGTAACATTTTAGTAACATATTCCGCAAAACCAGTCCATATCATACGCACACATTCACATTCCCTCCTCCACTGGGCGTCGCCATCTTGAAAAAAAGCGCTCGGGACAAGCTCTTCCGATTCCCGTATTTCACGTGGAATTTCGCGGGATTTCACGTGAAATTCCGCGTGGAATCGGCAAAGAACGGCTTAACTTGCGATTCCACGTGCATTTCACGTGAAATCTGTTCAAAGAACGCACCCTTGAACCTGGTGGATTGCATGCTGTTATGGGCACCTATCATTTGTATATCTCGGATTTTTTTATATCGGTGACCTAAGGTCAGGCCAGAGGCGTGACCTTACCATATCAATGGAGAAAAGTGAAAATGCCTCTAGATCCGTGTGTACGCATAGGAACAGTCAAGTGAGAACTCGCTCTATCACGCATTCATCACACAGTGACAAAGTTTCCCCCTACTTGAGAAGATGCACGAAGGACGCGAAATTACACTCGTGACAAATAAGGTTCTGTATTCGGTAGGACGTTCCGGCACATTCGTCTTCGTCAACCGATACGCTGCAGCAGCCGTCGCCGTCGACAGGGCCCCAAACCACAGAACCCATGGAACTTCAACCTACGGATTCAGCTTCAACTGCAGGAGCAGATTCCCCTGCTGAGATTTCCATCGAACAAGAGGTCACACGTCAAAGACCACTCCCTCCAACGGAACGGCGCTCGTAAGTTAATGTGAAAATCTTGCTACGATTTTTGCACCTTTTGATGGTGCATTGGTTCGTTTTTCAAAGTTCTGTTTGGAATGTTTCTAAGGTGGTATGATATCCTTAAAAAGTGATATTGTGACTGGGTAGCGGTCATTCAGGAATAGTGGCGATGTGTTGGCATAATGGATGCATTCACAATCTAATGCATTGTTTGAGCCAGAGAGTTCAATGGGGCGGCCACCACGTCGTCCAAACGCAGGTCGGTATAGGGATTCAATATATATTGTCCAGTGCTTGGATGCCGGCCACACAGGGGCATGGACAGTGCAGTAGAACTTGCCGCAGGGTATCCGACTCCTCCCAGTCCCTACACAGGAGGAGTCGGATACCCCGCGGTCACGCGTCCAAGAAACACTTATGTTGTTTTTTTGTTCAGTAATGCAAACTTGTGAAAAATGATATTTGTTTCCCCCACAGCACCTCTCCTAGAAGGAAGAGAAAACGCACATACCTAAGGAAGTACAATCAACAGCGGTGGTCGAGACGTGTCGTCCTGGCTCCAGATACAATGGAACGGATCAAGAAGTTCTCCCACGAAGAAGGCTTGTCACCTATAAGTGCCGCAATAACGCTACTTCTCGACAGGTGTTATTTTTTTTATTAATTGTTGATCGAAGTCATTTCACTTTGATTTATTGTGCCATTATCATTTTTTTTTTAATATGGTGCTTGTTACTTAATCCATTGTTACCACTACATCCCTTGTAGTGTTCTGGTGATGTGGGGTTCATAACTGTGGTTTGTTCAAAATTAAACGACATATTTTGGTCACAGGATAGCTGTGGAATACAGCACTGTATAATTTGAACAACTATGGTATGGATTGAGTTCACGTGCTTCACCCACAACATAGTCTATTTTTAATTGCTCAACGAATGAACGTCCCTACTTCCTTGGTGTAGATCAAGTAACACAAATGATTTTGATTGGGGATCCATAAGCAGAAGCATCTAGTTTAGATGCCTCGATCTTTATTTTCATCCCATATCTTGGCCAGCTCAACTGTCTGGAATCAGTGCATTTTATTCAACCCATTTTATTGGAATTTGTTTCACCATGGATGAATTCAATCAAAAACTGACACAAAACCAGTGAATGAAGCTTTATTGCTGGGTTTATTTTAAAAATACTGGATAATGCCTATCAAACCACAATTAGATGATAGGCAAGAAGTGAAATTATACGAAGAAATGGACCCAAAAAGAGCAGGAGTGTATTGTCACAAGCGGTAACAACGTGATTTTCCAGTGATTGAAAACTAAAGCATCGGTATAGCAAAACAGAAATGAAATGTCGTTTTATGTCTCAGCATAGACATCTCGCACGAACTGCCCACGCATGCTCCCCGCAAGCCCCGGAGTCAGTATGGCCGTTACGGCGAGTTGGTCTCGGCGCATCTATGCCCGGCGCTAATCACGTGGTAACATAAACAGTTTTGTGTTTATAAGAAGGTTTCCCATTTTTTGGGGGGAAATAACAATTTAAATATACGAATCAGCTAAGATTAAAATAATCTGGAAGGCTAAAACTGCTAAAGTACTTCACATTTGCTTCAAGTACGAGAATATTGTAACGTGATATCTTCTGGGCAATACCTAATGCTGCCTTTCCCTAACGACAACTCAATCAGAAGAGCGGCCGCGTAAGCGTAGCGTCAATAATGTATTATCTGCGCCAGTTCTGTAGTAATTTCGCAGGCTACCAAAGTGGCGGCCATGCTTATAGTGGTGAATCGCTCATGAAAAAATATTTTTCACCGAGTTCGGTCCTCAAACTATGTTTTTCTGATTCAGAAAAATAAGAAATGCTAGAAAAAAAAAATCAGCTCCATACATTGATTTTTTTTTCGATGATACTGTCCCTTTAAAGGGACTATCCCACCTTTAACATGGGGTTTGAGTTGAGATAGCCAAGTTTGCGGCGAGGTTCAGAAACCACTATCTATCTAGGTTGCAACCCCCGCGGCCTCTTGGTGTGGAAGAAATTCGTTCCCTTCATTTGAAAATGGGCCTTGTGCAAGGCCCTATCTTCAACATGGAGCGACCGTGAGTGTGACGTCACCTCGTTTAGTCATTCTGATTTAAATGGGTTTGTTCGTTGAAAAATCGCTTAAAACTTGGTCTGAACTTTGTTTGGTGCCTACAGAGTAAAAAGAATCAGCTTTATGACAGTAATGTGGCATGGGGAATGAGGTAATTTTGGGCTGTGACGTCACATATTTGAAAGTTTGTGTTCGGAATATGGGAAGCCTAAGATGTTTAATGAAAAATAAATGCCAGAACCGTGTTCCTGGTCATCCAATCTATAAAGTCGGGCACAATTTAACTGGTTTTAACAACATTTTAGCATGGGTGGAGAACCTGCCCCGGCCACCCCGGCCGTGGCCGGGGTAACTTTCAGCCTACCCCGGCGCGGCCGGGGTAACTTTTCTACTCTTGTAAATCCTAAAAGCTGTCTCCATACGAGAAAAGAAAACTCACGCTCTTCGAATGTTGACTTCCATGGGCGTAATATTGCAAATCAGGTAGGTATTTACCATTTACTTAACTTGCCATAATCTCCAACCCTAAGACCCGCGTGTGGTCGCCAATGCCAAGATTGCTCTCAAATCCTGTTCAGTTTCGAAATTTTGGCGCGCCTTCGGCGCACTTTTTCAAAACTACTGCTTGACCTCATTGCCTCCAACTGACCTGCCACCAACCGCAACCACACCCGTTTATGAGCGTACCCGTCAGGGTGCTCATAAACACCGAGCGGCCATCATGCTTCGAACTCGGACTGTTGTAACCGGGCCGCGTGCTCTCGCCACGCGGAATCCAACGCTCTAGCAACTG